GAAAACAATCAGTTATAAGAAATGAAGGTTTTTTTGGACAGATGTGGTCTTCAAAAATTAAGTTCATGCATACATATATATATGTATACACACAGACATGTATGTCATGTATATTATATATGGAGAGAGATGAGGGGAGAGACAGAGTGCGAGCGCATCCCACCAACCCAGCATTGTGAATGGAGGGAGCCAGGCAGGTCAGGTGGCACCCAACAAATGACAGGGGAGTGCGCCACACACATCTAACCCCCCACGTCTCCTCCTCTCACACCTGCACGTCCCCTTGAAGGCATTCTGATGTGCCACATCAAATTCTAGGCAAAGCAGGTATTCCAAGATGATAGCGTTAGAGTGGGAAGAGACTTTTAGGGTCACCAGGTTCCCTCCACTTTGCAGCTAAGTAAACCAAAGCCCAGAGAGATTCCCCTGTTTGCACAAAGCCACACAGCACAAGCAGCAGAACCATGACTGGAACTCAGAGACCTGTGGCTCCAGATCCAATTTTCTCTCCATTACAGCACACAGCTCAGTCCAATATTTGAGCAAACCACAGGATAAAGTCACTCACCTGCAAACATGACTGCATGCTGACTCTAGAGCACAGATGAAGCCACAGGCCACCCATCTCCAGAACACAGTTCTGAACATGATCAAAATGCATGTTCGGCTTTATTTTTCTTTTCCTTCAATTGAGGAAGTAGGAGAAGGATGGTGGAGAAGGGAAGGGAAGAGAATAAGCATGAATACAGTACCTACTATGTGCCAGACACTGCTAAGCATTTTTACAAAAACTGCTCTCATTGGATCCTCACAAGAGCCCTGGGAGGGAGGGGCTATTATTGTCCTCACTTTACCTCCGAGGAAACTGAAGCAAACAAAGGGTTACATGCAAAAGGTGATACAGCCAGCAAATGTCTTCAGGCAGCATTTGAACTCAAGTCTGCCTTAAGAAGAAAAGCAAGCTCCTTTCCCATTTGATAAAAATCGTTGGGAAAAGTAGAAAGTGATCTGGCAGAAATTAGGTTTAGACCAACACCTTACACCACACTTCATGACACATTCTAAATGGTTGTGTCCTTACTATTAAAGATCAAAGTATTTCGGGGAGGGGACAGGGGGAGAGAGAGAGAAATAGATCATATACCTCCCACAGATATGGGGAGGAGATAGATTCTTAACAAATAAGGGACAGAGGCAATGACAAAAGATAAAACAGATAACTTTGATTACACGTAACTGAAAATTTTCTGTATAGACATCATTAATGGGCCAAGGATAAGAGCAGAAGTGGGAAAAAATCTTTACATCAAATTTCTCTGGTAAGGGTTTAGTGTCCAAGATATGTAAACAAGAGACACATAGAAGACAAAAGCACATTTCCCCACTGAAAGATAGTCAAAGGTATGAACAAGCAACTGTCAAGAGAAGTAGAAGCTCTTACCAGCCCTATCAAAGAATGCTTCCCAACTCCTAGTGAGAGCAACAAAATCAACAAGGAAAAAGAGAGCAAGCTCCCAATACCGGAGATTTATTTCCATATAAAATTCTGTCTTCTTTTCTATATAGAGGAATGCTGGTTTTATTTGGTGTTTAAGCTCAGGATCAAGATAAAGGAAAAAACAGTCTGTATATCCTAAACAGCTTTCTTTTCCCCAAATCTGAGTTACCAGGTTTTCTAAATAGCTAACTGGCATCACTGTGCGTTGCCTTCAAGGATCTGTGACTTCCCATGTGTGTACACACCTTCTATTGTTTAGGGCGAGGGTTGCTGTGTCCACACTTAGTAGAGGGATTATTTCACCAGTTCCTGGGAGAAAAAAAATTCCTGCCATACTTCAAAACAACCCCTATTCTCAGCATCAACACCCACCCCATTTCATTCTTCTAGGTTAGTCTACAAGGAGGAAATCCTTCTCCTCTGCCAAAGGCAAACCCCGTAATTGTGCTGCCTCCAGAATCTCCTTCTCCCCTCAATTCTCAGTTTCTGCTTATCTATCCATTGGCTTCTCTCCAGATGCCTTCCACCTCTCCACCTTCAGAAACCTAACTTGATCATACCATAGGCCTCGTGTCCTAGCCAAACTCATAGAAAGGGCTATCTACACCTATGGTCTCCCCTTGCTCACCTCCTTCCTCTCTTCTCAATGCCGTGCACTCAAGTGAGCTCTCCCCAAGGTTATCGACGACCTCTTTATGCCTAAATCCAATGGCCTTTTTTCTGGGATGCTGAGCACCTTCTCCTTCTGGAGCTCTTTCCTGCCAGGGTGTTCCCACCACTGCTCTGCTCTAGGCTCTCTCCCTGCCTGTCTAAGTACTCCTCAGGACTGTCCTCTGCAGATCAGCAATCGTCCAATTCTCACTCATGTGTTCTCTTCGATCTCTAAAGTGTACCTTAGTGTTCTACATCCAGACGACCCTCAAATCACCATCTCCAGCCCTTAACTCTCCCTGTGTTCCAGTCCATCCTGGTCATCCCGCAGGTATGCTCATCTCTCTTCACCATCTGGCTTGAAGTCCACCCTTCCCAAGTGGTTAAATATTATTCTCCTTCACATAGAGCACTCTGGCCAAACAACCTACTAGCTCTCCTCACAGAAAACATTCCAGATGCCACCTCCACATCTTTGCACAGGTGGTCCTCGTCACCTCTGCCTCTTGGAACCCCCAGCTCCCCTTCAAGACTCCCTTTACTGGGGCAGCTAGGTGGCACAGTGGATAGAGCACCAGCCCTGAAGTCAGGAGGACCTGAGTTCAAATCCGGCCTCAGACCAAACACACTTGACACGTACTAGCTGTGTGACCCTGGGCAAGTCACTTAACCCCAACTGCCTCACCCAAAAAAAAAAAAAAAAAAAAAAGAGAAACAGAATGAAGGACAAGGGGGAGCTTGGTGGTACAGGGGATAGAGCACCAGCCCTGAAGTCAGGAGGACCTGAGTTCAAATCTGGCCTCAGACCAAACACTTGACACTTACTAGCTGTGTGACTCTGGGCAAGTCACTTAACCCCAATTGCCTACACAGAAAAAAAAAAAGACTCCCTTTCCTGATCCCTAGCTCTCAGCGGCCCTTTCCCCAAACTACTTCCTTCATACTTATCTGTGAATGGAGAATGTGACCTCCTCAAGAACAATAAAGAATGTCAGAGAAACAGAAAGAGTGGTATGAGCTAATGCAACCCAGTGACAAGAAACAATGTAAAGGAAAAACAAAGAACTTCGGAGAAACTGAAATCCAACAAAGGTCACAGAGGAGAGAGAACGAAACAAACTTTCCCCCTCATTTCAGAAAGGTTCAAGACTCCAGGACAATCCTGGCATCCGGCTTCTTGTTGTGGCAGTTTAATTGTGTTTCTTTGTTACAAAGAAAAGTTCAAGGGGGAAGGGAGAGTGTTTGAACAACCACCCTCTAAAGGCAAAGGGTATCAAAAAAAAAATTTAAAAAAGACTGCTTTCACCTTTCAAGTCCCGTGAGGTGAACCTTGTTCTGCTCGCCTCACACTAAGAAATCAGGGTCACCGAGCTGAGGCGGCAGGAGGACCCGCTGTCCGGCGCAGGCTGGTGATTCTAGTCAGTGAAAGCCACTCTGATCTGGACTTGAGCTGACACAAAGATTTCTATTAATTCCCCCAAAGTACTGGAATGAACAAAGTACAGATTCTTTTCAAAGCATTCCTGAACATGCGAGAGAGCTTGCCCTCGGCAGCCTTCATTTCTAATCCCCCAAAACAGAATGCTCTCCATCCTGGCCAAACTGGGCGGCTTTCTATCCCATTACTCTTGGCAAACTTTAAAGTGAGATGCAAAGGTTTGGTGATTGTCACTCAGAGGTGCCCCACTCTTCATGACCCCATCTGGGGTTTTCCTGGCAAAGACTGGAGTAGTTTACCATTTCCTTCTCCAGATCATTTTACAGATAAGGAAACTGAGACAAACAGGGTTAAGTGACTAACTGAAATAGGTCACAAATGTAGTTCTGTCCCCATTTTACACACTGGGAAACTAAGGTCCATTAGAAAGTGAGTAGCCAGGCCTAAGCCATCAGCTAATAAGTGTCTAAGCCTGGACCAAACCCAGGCACCCTGAAACAGGATAAGTAAATCTTAAGTTATGGACTGGTCAAGTCAGTCAACTAGCATTTACTGACATGGAGCTATACACTAGGAATAGAAAGGTGAACCCAGACCCTGTGTACAAGGAGCTCATATCCTCACAGAGGAGAGAATGGGGAAAGTCACAAGGGCCACACCTTCAGAATACGGTGGTTTAAACCGACAACTCTGTACAAATCCCATCATACTTGCCAAAGACAATCCCTGCCTAATAAAGGCATTTAATGGCCACCAAACTAGAGTCTTTTTTTGTTTTTCAGATACAAAATCTGCATGAACAATGCTATTGAAGCTCACTAGCCCTTATTAAGAGGACATGCCTCAGGACTGGGGCTCCATAGCTGGCACTCCTGGGGCCAGGCAGGACAAGAGGCCATCCTCACCACAACCTCAAGGCCTCAAGTGGAGCCTTGTTAATGCTGGACAAAATACTGCATCAAAACAAAATGTACCCAGAAGAAGCAAAAGAAAATGAGTGAATGTTTGCTTTCTTCCCCTCTGAGTGTATTCAAGCAGTCTGGTCAGGGGAAAGCACACGAAAGGCCTTTAAGGAAAGGGTTAGCAGATGCTTCACTAATCAGCGTGTATCGATTACTACTGGTCGAAGGTTAGCTCCCACTGCCTTGGGGGGGGGGGGGGCAGGGAGGCCAGTGGGCAGAGCACAAAAAGAATGAGTAGTGAAGGAGGGTACAGCTGTTACCCAGCTGGCCCCACCAAGACTCGACTGGAAAATGGATAGCCAAGAGAGTGAAGCAAATGAAAGAGAAGCTGTCCTTCCCCCTCCGTCTTTGTTGCTTCTGAGTGAGAAGAGGAAAGTGCTCCTGGAAAGCTCAGGCAACCCCAGAACAGGCTGTGTGCCTCCATTTTAAAATAATAATGGCAATAACTCACTAAAGCCTCCGGCTTGAAGCCTCCCCAGGTGCTGTCTGGGCACAGGAGGGAGCAGGCTGATGTCGATCAGATTCTTCCTGTGAATTCCAACTGGAGGGGCTTCCATTTTCCACCCAGCTGCACTGCTCCAGCATCTCCAAGCTCATGTGGACTTTGGTACTCACTGTAAAGTGGACAGCAAAATGGAGAGCTCCTGCCTCAGCCCCACTTCAGGAAGCCAGCCATTCTGCATTTCCCTTCTGGCTGCCCTTCATGGGACTTCACCATCTCCATCCAGTCTACCATGTTCCCCAGCCCCAAGCTTCTTCTTGTGTTTCGATTTCCCCATTAGACTGTAAGCTTCTGGAGGGCAGGGAACGTCTTTCTTTTTCATATCTATATCCCCAGAATTGAGCACAATCCTTGGCACAGTGGGTACTTAATGTTTAATGACTGATTTTCCTTCTATTTCAAAGCATATAAAGGTTCTGCAGAAGCATGCTATATTTGTGCTAATGTAAAGCCTCTGGGACTTCCGTGATCCCCTTCAAAGAGAAGGTATTTCTCCATCTTACAACATTTTGTCTAGATTTCTTTGCACTCATGACATTCCATCTTGTATTCATTCGTTTAATCGCGAGGCATTTATTAAGCATCTTTTCCATACTAAACCCTACCGTGGGTGTAAAGATAAAACTGGAGACAGACCTGGGTCCAGGGGCTTACGTGCGATGCAGGTAAAGCAAAGTAATGTGAAGTATACACAATTTAGGGAATATATGAAATAATGCATGGAATGAGGTGCTAATGGGTCACAAGCCTCTGGCCAGCTTTCCTGGCACCTGTTTCAAGTCATTTATGTAGGAACCTTTCATCATTCCTGGTAAGCTCCTCACCCTTTCACCTTTGATTCCTGGTATCTACCTCCCAGCAGACACTTAGGAAACATTTACTGAACTGAAGTGACAGCTTTTAAATCTAGAAAACAACCGGTTACCAGGTCGAGTCCAGTCCCAAACCCCCAACAATGAGAATGACATAATATCGTTGCATGAATACATGGAAATTTTACAAGTCTACCAGCAAAGTCTCAACAAAGCTTTTAGTCAATGGCCATTTTATCACTTCCCATCTCAGGCTGTCTCTTATAATACACGCTTTTGTTTCTGTGTTTAGGCTTGAGGAAGGCCATTGTATCCAGCATACCCCAAACTAACATTGTATTTACATTTGTACCATGCATTCTTTGTATAAGCATACTTTTTTGTATGCGGCCAAACAATGTGATGGCGCTAATAAAGTAAGCTATAATTAGGAAAGATAAGTTAATGAAATGATCCTTTCCAAATGATAAGCATCATTCTAAGAGTTAAGATGACAGCTTTCTACCAGCCAGATTCTTCCTGCATTCTTGTCGATGTGTTTAATCATACAACCCAACTATTATATTATGCCAAGATCTTATACTTTGTAAGACTGCCACTACCTGAGAGAAGGCTGAGCCAGCTTGTAGTAAGAGAAGCAATCACCACTGGCATTCTACGTCCAGCTGGCCTTCAACCAGGCAGACACAGAGTCTCCTGACATTCCCCGGGCTCACAACTGCATTTGTTTCAACTGTGCCCAAGTGTCTGATCCAACAAGAACGTATTAGGCACCTACAGTGTGAAAGCCTCTGTGCTGCTGGGTGCTTAGGGCACAAAGACAGAACCACAATCGCTCCTGTCTAGGAGGATCTCAACCCCTAGACACCACCACAAAGCCTTAGGGGGACATCTGGGAAGAGCAGTATTTACTGTTATTTCCTCTTCCTCCACCAGAGGACGCACCAGGAAAGAGATCCATCAGCATCTACGTTTACGCCAGACACTATGGAGGCCCAGTGAACAAAGACAAAAATTAAACAGGTCCCTCAAGGAGCCTGAGTGAGGAAAGGGCCTGGCTAAATCTGGGAGGTTTGCTAGGAGTCACAATCCTCCACAGGACAGCTTCCAACCAGTTACATACATCCAGTAAACTACCAACTGGGATGATGATAAAACTCCCATCATTTGCGCAACATTTATTGAGCGTGCCCCATATGCCAGGCACAGTGCTCAGAACCACCAGGTATGGATAACAAGAGAGGCAAAAGCCAGGCCCTGCCCTCAAGGAGCTCCCAGTATCATGTAAACAAATATATACAGGGGCAGCTAGGTGGCACAGTGGGATAGAGCACCGGCCCTGGATTCAGAAGGACCTGAGTTCAAATCTGGACTCAGACATATAACACTTACTAGCTGTGTGACCTTGGGCAAGTCACTTAATCCCACTGCCTAACCAAAAAAAAAAAAAAAAAAAACACACTTCAAAAAAAAAAAAACCAAATATATACAAAGGTTCCGACAGGTTAAACAGGAAACAATGAGCAGAGAGAAGGCTCTAGAATGAAGAGGGACTGGAGAGGCTGTCTGTAAAAGATGGGATTTTCCTGGGGATCTGAAGGAAGCCAGGGAGGTGAGCAGTCAGATGAGGAGGAAGAGCGTTCCAAGTATGAAGCAGTGCCAGAGAAAATGCCCAGAGCCAAGAGATGGAGGGTCTTGTTGTGGGCCATCCAGAAGGCTAGGGTCAGAAGGGGACATGTGGGGGAGCCAGGTGAAAAGAAGACTGGAAAGGGAGGAGGCAAGTAGATTATGAAGGGCTTCGAATGCCAAACAGCATTTTGTGTTTGCTATTGGAGGCAATACTTGGGGCGGGGGGGTAACACGATCAGACCTGCACTTTAGGAAAATCACTTTGGTGAATGGAGGATGAGTTCAAGTGTGAACAGAATGAGGAAGAGAGACCCCTCCCCAAGCTCCCACTCTCACCAGCAGCTCCTGTAACAGTCCGGGTGTGAAGTGACAAGGGTCTGCACCAGGATAGGGGCAGGGTCAGTATTTTCAAAAGACACTGGAAAGGTGAATTCGACAGACCTTGGCACCATATTGAATATGGGTAGTGAGGAATCCAGGACGACTCTTAAGTTGGGAGCCCAAGGTACTGGGAAGATGGTGAGGAAGTGAAGAGAGGTAGGAGGATTTGGGAGAAATGACTGAGTTCTGGTTTGGACATTTTAAGTTTAAGATGTCTACTGGACATCCAGTTGGAGATGTCTGAAAGGCAGCTGAAGATGTGAGACTGGAGAACAGCAGAGTGTTTAGGGCAGGACAGGGAGATCTGAGAATCATCAGCACAGAGGAGGTCATTAAATCCATGGGAGCTGATGAGAGAGATCACCAAGTGAAATGGTCTAGAGGGAGAAGGGCAGAGAACCCAGGACAGAACCTGGAGGATCACCTCCAGGGGGTGTGATGAGAAGAAGGATCCAGGAAGGAGTTAATGTAATGTGAAGGTGAGACTTTGGAGGCTACAAGCGCACTTTTACAAGATTCCTGCAAGTTACCAGTACCCAGCTAGAGTCAGGTCATGTGCTTGTGGGAGGAAAGCTGACCCTGCAGAAGCTGACAACAACTGGATAATCACAACTCTCACTGAAGCCCTGAGGGGTAGGGGAGGCCTCATTGTACCCATTTCACATTATAAGGAACCCGAGGTGTGCAGAGCTATTTCCAATTAACGCCTTTTTTCACCGAAGGTTCATAAATTTAGAGCTGGAAAAGGGCAACTGCCCCTTGTTCTATTTTACAGATGAGAAAACTAAGACCCAGGAAGGTCAGGTAAGCCAACAAGGTCTACAGAGAGACGCCACGTGCACACGGTAAGAGTTGTGGCTTCCCAACGAGAAGCCAACACACACCACACTGCGCTGGAAAAGTCAGACAGCAGCCAGGGTTTTCTCCATAGACGTCAGACTGGCATAGGAGAGGTCACACACACACTGGCTTCAGAACATGGCCCCAATCTCCTCTCAGATACTCACCAGCTCAGAGACCTTGGACAAGTCTAGTAACTTCTCGAGGCTTCAATGGCCTCTCCTGCAAAATGAAGGGCTTTCGCTCAATGAGCTCTAAGATCAGAACCAACTCAAAATCCTCTGATTCAAAATGTCGGCATTTGCTGGAAATCGATGAAATAGCCCTTTGGAGATCGTTCACAGCTGATACAAATCCCAGCCTGACACCTGTTTTCCCATGCTGGTTTTCTTCTGAGCGCTCACGCACCAGAGGGAGAGGGGCCCCTCTGGATCTGGCCTTTGTGGGCGTGCACAGGAGGACCACCTCCTCCTATGGAGGGAGCACAGGAACTGTGGCCAGCTACTCCTCATTCTTACCCCATGCCCGGATTATCTCAAGTTTATGGTCTTTTGTATCTCTTTGCCCACATCCTCTGGCCCCCTTATTTACTAGGAGGGGGCTAGAAACCAGGGGGGATAAATCAGTCACCAAGCATTTATTCAGTGCCTATTATCTACCATGTACTAGGCGACACTGTGCTAGATGTCAGTCCAACAACCAGTGCCCTCTCCTGGGGTTCCAAGGCTGATGGTACACTTGCTCACGCAATGAATCAATCTACTTACTGCCAAACTCGGTGATTCTGGCCAGCTCACTTAGCGGGCTAAAGACACAGAATCACAGTATTCCATGGGTGGAAGGGGCTGTGGGGGACATCTATCTAGTCCAACCAATATGTGAAAAAAAAGAGGCAGCCACTCCGTCTCTCCCGATTCCAAGCGTCCGTTTGTCTCTGCTGCAGCGCCACCCACTGGGGCCTAGCAGAACAACGCCAATCTCTCTTGCCCTGGCTGGTCCTTCAGATACTTAATGACATCGAGCTTGTCATCCGGGTGTTCTTTTATCCCAGCTAAACATTCCCCATTTCTTCAACAGATAGTCCTCTTACGCACAGCAAGGATCAGAGACATTCCAGCGCCTTGGTCGCTCCCCTCTAGTCATTTAGGCAGCTCAGAATCCACCTAAACATGTCCACACCCATATCTCTCCATCCTGCCCACAGTGCACATGCGATCATCAAAGGCATCTTCCCCATGCACTAACCTAGCAGCCGCCATGCACAAGATTGGGTCAGTCTCAAAGGACTCACTCTGTCTGTCCATCCGTCTGGCACCTTGCTAAACATACACAGATCTCACTGCTTCCAAGCACAGTACTCTCCCCACTACACACCGTGCCGGAGACTCAGAAATTCAAGGGCCAAAATGT